GATTCATATTGGTTACATGTGTTGGCATGTGTTTAACTTATGAATCAAATTAATTTATGTCACTGTTTTTTTTTTTATTTCTGGATAATTTAAATTGCTGTATATCATAGAATACATGAGAATTTGTAGCCACTTAATCATCAAAAAAATTTAACGTTTGGGATCTAGAAATTTTGTTTCATGGGAGGGGAGGGGGGATCGATATTTACAAAAATATAAATATACTTTTATGTAAAAAAAAATTCATATAGTTTTTTTCTTATTCAATTATGATATATATAATAATGTATATAAGAAAAAGTAAAATGAATGCAATATTTTTATTAACACTTAAATATAATAGGAAGATTATTTTTAAAAATCATTAAAGTTTGAACGATTCAAAGAGTAATATTTAAAAATTTAGAGATTTTGAATTAACATCTATTTGTTATAAATTTTACAAAAAATAAAATTTTAAACGACTCTCAGCATAACTTAAATTTACCAAAATTTGTATACTAACTTTTTAAATTTATTGCTTTATAGAAAATTCAAATATTTGGAAAAAGAACACATAAAATGCTATAGAGAAATCATTTACCATATATATAAACCACCAAAATTGTAGGAAATAACTAAGTTTTCTAAATATTAAATTTCGAGTTAATACAAAAAAAAAAAATATTACGGTATATGCATGTTAGACTACGTTGTTATTTATATTTTTTGGAACTAAATTTGTAAAGAATTAAGCTGCACTAAACTATGGTGCCTATTAGAGGAACTCAAACCGTTAGTGACTATACTTGCAATGGGCGTCATGTGTTTGTCCATACAAGAGACTTAGAACGACCTCTCGTTGGTTCCATTTTACAGAGCATGTGGTGAAGATCACTAGTACACATAAACTATGTCCGAAGATCACTAGTATACATAAGATTCACTTAAATAAACTCCAAACTGGTGAAGAGTTTTTATTCATCAAGCAAGGAAACAAAAACAAAAAAAAATTCAACATTTTGTGTGTACTCATCATCATCATCATCTCTATGTTTTATACCATTTACAATGTAGGAGGTATCCAAATGCAGCCATGAGTCTGCATATAACCAGCTTTCTAAGTAGCTGATCTTCTTCGGCTGGGCCACGGCTTCGATAGGTCTAGCTCACTTTGCAAGGTTTGCATCTCCAGACCCGGTTGCTTCGCCTGCGCAGCAAAGCCAAAAACTTCAGATTGATTGAATGAATGAACAAAACTGAATCTCTCCCATTTTTGTAATATCATAAATTGTGGTTAGTTCATCAGGTACTTACAGTTAGCTACTTATATACCTTCATGAACATGGTTCCTCCCTTGGTTTTGACCAGTTGTATTGCATGAGAGATTAGACCAACAAAATTTTTAGTATCAGTAAATACACTTGATATCTGAGAAGGTTGGATTTGGTCTCGACACAAAACATTTGAATATGTCACCAGGAACATCTGTAAACCCGAATGTGATATTATCTGCCTTCTTTGAACTCACTGCCTTTCCGGCCTTCAGTTTAATAAAAGGAACACCTGAAAGATACATCAATCCACAAGTTTGGAAATGAAGATGTGATCAAGAAAATTTGTAATCACCTTCACTTTCTCATTTCGGATGTGCTCGTGTCTAAGCGAGATTGGTTTCTCCATGGCGACAAGGCAATGTATATATCTATATATATATTCAGATTTTATTAATTAATTTCGTTTTTGAATTTTATCAAAATTTAAGGAAAGATCCGATTGAAGATTTCCGGGTCAAATCAGAAAAAATTCGATCCGATTGGATTCCTTAAAATGTACTTCAAAAATATATACTAGATGTTAACCAAAACAAACGGGACTGCGATTGTGTAATCAAATGGACTAAGCTGCTTTAAAAACATGGACAAAAATTCTGCTTTCTCAGATGCATTCTTCTCATCATGCATTCTGCGATTGTGTAATCAAATGGACTAAGCAGCATTCTACGATTGTGTAATCAAATGGACTAAGCAGCGTTCTTCTCATCTATATATACATTTTTGGAGACATTTTTGAAATAAATCCTGGAGTTGGATTGTATTTACAAGAAATACCACTGGTGTTCGGGTCAAATTTGATATCTAGAACCCAGAAATCTTTCAGTCGGATATTGCCTTAATTATCCATATAATATTCCATAATTAATAATATAGATATTTTTGAAGATTTGGTTAAGATTTAAAATTATGATTCTCTTATCATCTTTGTTTGATTTTTTTATTATAATTTTTGTAAATCATCATATAATATATAAAGTTAAAAAATATATTAATCTTTCAGTCGGATATTGCCTTAATTATCCATATTAATATTTTTTCTGCATATATAGTGATTCAAAAATTTTAGCGGACATATATAACTCAATTAATGAAAAAGTATATGTTCATGTGGGACTAAAATGTTTAAACAAGGATTTAGAGTCATATTATAAACAAAATCAAAATGAATCAAAATCTGAATTAACATGAAAGTTAACTTAACAAGCATCAAAATTTAAAAGTTTGTATACCGTTTAATTCCGTTGTTTAGTTAAAATATTTAATTTTACCAGATATAATAAATATAAAACTATTTAAAAGTTTTAAATATTATAATTGATACATTCAAATCAATTAAAAAATTTATAATATTATGAAATTTAAACATATAAAAAACTAAAAATACACGGGACGAATTATATTGCAGGACAGGGTTATATGACAAGACGAGTTTGAATCAACATTAATAGAATTTTAAAATATCGTTAACATGCAGCTTCAATACGGGTTAAATCCTCATTTTGTTATTTTTAACACCATCAATATTAGACATAACGAATGAAGCTGATTTAATTAAGATTGTATAAAACAAAAATTGTCTCATGGTATACCTTTACTTGATGGCAATTGTAAACTACAAAATTTAAATGTCTTAAAAATAATAAAATTTGCAAAATTTTATATATAATACATAATCATAAAATTTTAAAAATTACAAATTTAGGAAAATAATTCGTCATGTGGTGTACCGCGGGTCACTTCCTAGTTAACATGATAATATCAAATTTGATATAAAAACTGTCAATCGTCTCATTCTCAACAAAAACTAAAAGGCTCACATGCCAAACGTAGCTTAAGTCTGAAACATTGCCAAAAATAATTTCTAGTTTATACAAAACTTAGTTATTAAAACCGACACCAAATAGATCAAGGAACTATAGTCCGTAACATCGCCTTTGCAACCGTATCATCAGGAATCACACACACTACGAAGAAACCACGCCCAAGCTTGTCTTTCCTCAAATCTTGCGCAGGTTCTTCAAAAACGGATCATTTGTGATGATCATTAGGTTAGTCAAACGCTTAGCTTGCATGTCAAGGGCAGTAAACCCAATCACTTGAAGAATCTTCAACTCTGCAAGTTATGTTGCTCCTTATTCGATGACGCTTGTGTGACGGCTTTACATTTTTGAAAAAGTAAGTATCTTTTGCTACATGGTATGACGGTTGCACCACTTTCCTTTAGATCCCGCATATACTTTTGCTACATGCAGCTTGAGCCTCGTCCGTGGTAAAAGTTGTTACTTTTGTACAAAATTTGTTTCAAAAATTGGGGGCCCAATACAAATGTATATTTGGTTTATGTGAAGGACCGGGCCTCGTTTTGTCCACGCCACGCGTGAGCTATTGTATAAAAAATCATATATGATAGATTATAAAAAGAATCATCATAAAACATCAATATAACATATTAGATTTGTTAACTCTAGTGGCATTTCCTTTTCTATAAATATCTTTAAGCACGGGAGTTCGACTTCATCTTTCTACAAAGAGTTGAGAGATTTGTCCAATAAATCCGCTGAAAAATCCATCCCCAATATATGCATCATATCTTAAAAGGAAACACTGGGCAATTATCTCTTTAGTGATTAAGATAGAAACTGAAGAAGAGTAAGATACCATTAAATATGTTGGTTAAAGGTTTAGTATCTTCTTCGATCTTCGAAAAAAATCTTTGAGTCCGAGAGGTGGATGCAGCATTTTTCACCCATAATGGTTCTTTGAAGTCATTCTTTCTTTCTGCAATATTTTTAAGCAATAGAGTTCGACTCTACCTCCTTATAAAGAGTTGAGAAATTTGTCCAATGGACCCTCTGAAAAAACCATATCAAAACTTCAAATTAAAGTTTTGAAGTTATAAAAGTGAAAAAAATGTAAAAAACAAGGTGAATAAAATCTCAAACCGTGATGCGCGATTTTTAAATCACAAAACTAATCCCAAATCGATTTTATATGTTCGAATTCGCCAAGTAACGAACACTAAACTTTGCGTTTCATGAACTATTCAAAAGAGTCGGAGTTTCGACATACTGAAAAACAAACTATAGTGGGCTCCGAAATTTTGTTCCTTAAGACAAAACATGATCGTTGGTAATAGATTAGAATTAAGCATGACAAATTTCTCCAAGCTATAAAAAAGTTAGCAATATAAATATAAAATGGTGGTTTGTCTATTTGTTGGATATGTTTGGGCTGAGTATTGGTTTAAACTTACTAAAAAGGAACTACAATAAAGGTTTGTGTTGGGAACAAACTCGTAGACAAGTACTTTCTCTTCTCCAGTTCTCCTTACAAACAAAATCTAAAAAGCTTGACCAAATTTATGTATTGTTGAAGCTTTGCCACAACAACAACTTCATTCTTGAACTCTTTTTCACATTGTCCCGATGTTTTCGATAATCTCTTCACCGCGCAAATTGTAATCTATAAAGAATATGAAATGAAACATAAATCATTACATTGATAGGATCTGTTATGGACTAATGAATAATAATAATACAAGTCTTCTCTGCTTATTTCGGAATAAAAACGAGAAGGCTAACGTTGGGCTATTAATGGGCCTCAAGAACCTAGCCCGTTAGTATATTAAATGTTTTTTTAATAAATTCGCTGTTAATAGAATCCGTCTTCTCCTCCAACGAAACAAATTTCTAGGGTTTTGAAAAGTCACTCTCGTCGCCGTTCCTTCTTCCCGCTGTGAGCAATCGGCGAAATGGGTCACTCCAATGTCTGGAATTCTCATCCAAAGAAGTATGGCCCTGGATCTCGTTTATGGTAAAATCATCTTCCTCACTCTCCTTATCCCCACAATCTCTCAAATCTCGTTTTTTTTATCTTGTTTAACTTGCCACAATTTGTCTTATCTTTTGAAAATTTCCGATCAGATTTTATCATGTTTTGTTTCATTATCATGAAATGAGTGAGTTTAGTGAATAGTATAGCTCACGGTGAAGTATTGATTGCATTTTATATTTGCTCTAATTGTGAAACTTTCATGTTATATTTGGTTTATTTCTACACCATGTGAGATTATCTATGTGAATGAGACTGGTTTTGTGTTATATTTGGAAATCAAGATTCTGAATTTATAATTTTGCAAATTCTTGTTTGTGTGTAGCTGATTATAGTGATTAGCTTATGTATGAGATTGTTATATTTAGCTTATGTCTTCACCATTTGAGATTGGCTTATGTATGAGATTAAGTTTGTGTTATATTTGGTAATCAAGATTCTGACTTTGTAATTTTGCAAATTCTTGTCTGTAATGTAGGTGATTGTAGTGATTAGCTTATGTGTGAGATTGTTATATTTGGCTTATGAATGAGATTAGTTTTGTGTGATATTTGGCATTTTAAGATTCTGACTTTGTATTATGCAATTGTTGTGTGTATGTATGTAGCCGTGTGTGCGGGAACTCCCACGGGCTGATCAGGAAGTATGGATTGAACTGTTGCAGACAGTGTTTCCGCAGCAACGCTAAGGAGATCGGATTCATCAAGGTAAATTACAAATATGAACATTTGCTGATTTGTATCTCCTTTCATTAGCATGGTTGTTCATTCTGATTTGTGTTCTTGTCTTTGCAGTACCGTTAATGAAGCAGCAGTTCTTGATTCATGATTATAATATGTCGATGAATTGCCTTTGAACTTTACGAGTTTGTTGATTTTAATGAAGAAGAACGTTTCAAGTTGTTGCATTTTTTTCTAAAGCTTATGTCTTATTTGGAACAATGATATTTGGTTTTGATTAAGAATTTGCTTGTTAATATCGATCATTTTGGAATAATAATCTTCTGGCAATCAATATGATCTTGGAATAGAATCTCTAGGTTTTCTTAAGACTTGTTTAAACATCCAAACATTTATCATATGGTTTTGATTTCGCAATGTGAGCTTATGCTTCTGAATCACCCAATCTGATATAGAAACATAGAATTAACATCATAATCTAACTTCGTAGACTCTGTAATCAAACAATACATTCCAAAAATCAAGGTTTTGACCGTAATTAGAAATGAAAACCAGTTTCTTTCTTCTGTATTACAATATGAAGAACATCACCCACCAATTAGAGCAGAAAAATACATTAAAACTTGTAGTCGTATTTAGATTGTAAGTCTGTAACCGGATCAAACAGTTAAAACTTGCAACTGTTAACCGAAAAAAAAAATATTGGTCATGGTTAATAAAATTAAAAACCGTATTAACCGTAATCATATCAAAATCTTAAAATTTAAATCATAACAGTTTTAAAAATAAGATAAAAATACTAATAATTTATTATATATAAGTACTAGATCATCACCGTACTACAGTACGGGTTGAATTTCATTTATTACAAAATTTATAAATTTTATGTTTTAAAATAAAGTTGTGATATATTATAATAGTAAGTGAAAAAATAATATTTTTTTGTCAGTCCCTATATATAATATTAGAATGAATATATTTTCCTTTTTCTATAGTATTCAATTGTGGATATTTTTTTTAAGATATAAAAACGGAAAATAAGATTATTTTTTTAAAAAATTAATATTGTTTGAACAATGAGTTAATTTATGTTAACAACCACAAAATGAGAGTGCATATAATTTAGGGAAATTGTTAAAAATGCCCCTTTTAGTGTGCCCCTTTTCAAAAATGCCCCTTTTAGATGTCCATTTTCAAAAATGCCCCTTTTTAAATATGAAAAATTTATAAAATTTTATTAGGTTTATAAGGTACTTATGGATGGTAACTATTACTTGAAGACTCGATCCATGTATTTATAAGATTTTATAAGGTGTTTTTAAAGGTTTTACAAGATATTTTAAAGGTTTTTAAAGGTTTTTCAAAGGTTTTACAAGATATTTCAAAGGTTTTTAAAGGTTTTTCAAAGGTTTTAGATACTTATTTGTGTATGTTTTAATAATGTTACATACACAAATAAGATTTTTAGATACTTATTTGTGTATGTTTTAATAATGTTACATACATATTTGGGTAAATCTTATATTTTAGGAGCATTTTTTATAAGATTTAAAGAAGGGGCATTTTTGAAAAGTGGCATTGAAAAATGGGCATTTTTGCAAAAGGTTAGATCAAAAATCAAAATATAATAAATGAATCGCATCTAAAACGTATATTATTTTGAATTACTTAAGAAAATTAGCTATTATTTTGAATTAATTTAGGAAATTATTTTTTCAAATTTTGATTCATTGGTTGTTGAAATAGAGATTTGTTTGAGCTAATGACGGAATTTACCAATTATTCACATAATCAAATATGTTATGACCATATATTTGGTATACAATAATACCAAATTCAATCCGTGTGTGGAGTCTATATTTTCATTTTACAATCCCTATGAAAATATTGCGGCACAATCTATTATTTATTATTTTCAAAATTGCTTGCAGGATCAAATTATCAAATATTTAGAAGTGTAAAACCTTATTTAACTCATCTCATCATAAAATCTTAAAATGTCGTCTGTTATAAGGATCATAACTTTCTACCATATAATACATTACATTTAATCCGCCGCCTACTATAAATATTTTAAACATATCTTTTTAGAAATTCAAATTAATGTATTTATAATTTTTTTTTATCTTTTTAATCTATTAAATATTTATGATATTCTTTAATATATTAAATTAAAAAATTTTAAAATGTTCCAAATTAAAATCTTTAAATTGTTTTATTGTAGTACGTAAAATTATGAATTTTTAAAAAATAATAAATTAAATATAAATATTCAAATAGTTATAAGGATCATAACTCATTTCATCATATAATATATTATATTCAACCCGCCGCCTATTATAAATATTTGTTTCAAAAAATCAAATTAGAGTATTTATACTTCATAAATTTTTGATCTATTAAGTATTGATGATATTAAAAAAAAAGGAATATATTACTCAAATATGAATTTTTGACCCGTTAAATTTGTTCTTTCATACATTGAATAATTTATATTCGTTTTTAAAAATTCAAATCTTGGTATATGCGAAAAAAAATTTACTTTTTATTTTATTATATAGATAATATAATGATTTATTTATTTATAGAAATAGAATCATATAAAGATGAGAGGTGAAGTATAATGATTAATAACAAATTAATATGGTAAGTTAGATATCAAATCTTATATGTTCATTTTGATTGGTCATTCTTTTTAAAGAAATTAATGATAGAGTTTCGTTTTTATAATTAAATTAGATTAATTAAATTTCATAAAATAGTATTTGACTTGTTTATCCTTAATGAGTTGAATTAATTTACTCTATAAAATTTTATTTCTAATGGCATTCTTAAGTAAATTCTTACAAAGGAGAAGGTTAATTAAGGGTAATTATAAATTGTACTCCCCAAATAATAGTATAGGATAAACATATCTTTTTAGAAAATCAAATTAATGTATTTATAATTTTTTTTTATCTTTTTAATCTATTAAATATTTATGATATTCTTTAATATATTAAATTAAACTTTTTTAAAATGTTCCAAATTAAAATCTTTATAAAATTTTATTGTAGTACGTAAAATTATGAATTTTAAAAAATGATATGAAATTAAATATAAATATTCAAATAGTTATAAGGATCATAACTCATTTCATCATATAATATATTATATTCAACCTGCCGCCTATTATAAATATTTGTTTCAAAAAATCAAATTAGAGTATTTATACTTCATAAATTTTTGATCTATTAAGTGTTGATGATATTAAAAAAAAAAGGAATATATTACTCAAATATGAATTTTTGACCCGTTAAAGTTTTTCTTTCATACATTGAATAATTTATATTTGTTTTTAAAAATTCAAATCTTGGTATATGCAGAAAAAATTTACTTTTTTTATTATATAGATGATATAATGATTTATTTATTTATAGAAATAGAATCATATAAAGATGAGAGGTGAAGTATAATGATTAATAACAAATTAATATGGTAAGTTAGATATCAATTCTTCTTATATGTTTATTTTGATTGGTCATTCTTTTTAAAGAAATTAATAATAGATTTTCGTTTTTATAACTAAATTAAATTAATTAAATTTCATAAAATAGTATTTGACTTGTTTATCCTTAATGAGTTGAATTAATTTACTCTATAAAATTTTATTTCTAATGGCATTCTTAAGTAAATTCTTACAAAGGAGAAGGTTAATTAAGGGTAATTATAAATTGTACTCCCCAAATAATAGTATAGGATAACTAATATGACATAGAATTAGAAACAAGATATGTATAATCAGTTTTTATTGATCCAAAATTTGTTAGAACTTATAAATTTATATTAAATAAAAGTGAATGTGCTAACATAACTAATTAGAGGGAGTATAACATAACTAATTCAACAGATTATATTTTTCGAAATAGTCAGGTCAATAAACTTTTTACATAACCAATTCTCTATTTATTCTATTCATAATTTTTAATTATAGAAAGCCAGAATTTTTATTGTGTAAACTCATGATTTGTTTGGTTTAATTATCAAAAAGCTTTCAACGTTTAAGTATTTTCCGTAGTTCCATTATTTGATTAGAGTCTAAATAAATGAAACTTAAAAAATATGCCAAAAATTTTCAAAAAATTAGATACCAAAAGCCAATGTTTCGTTTTTTTTAACACTGAGGCACGATGTTGATTGTGTACATCATCTTGCGCATCGTCGCTTTGAGATAAAGCAAAAAAAAAAAGCTCTTAAGTTTCGCAAAATAAAATAAAAATATATAAATTTGTTTTGGAATGCTTTTAACTAAAAGTTTTAATACAATGAAGATGAAAAGATTAGAGAAAGAATGAGAAAAGATTAGACGACAAGATAAAAAAAGAGGGGAAGAAAAAAACAATTAAAATAGTTTTTTTCATCAAGATAATGGCATATTCATTAAATTGTCTTACAAATACACATTTTATCTCACACTTTCTTGCGTATCTCCTTCTTGCGAGTTGCGACAACACACACTTTTTATGCATCTCTCTATTTGTTTCGTTAGAAGTTAGAACGACTGGTATTTCTCGTCCAAATTCATTACTCTTGCCAAACCATGAGGTTAGTTCCCACTTTACCAATCCATGTGATTTTACAAGTCAAAAGTGATTATTTTATGAAAATTACTATTTTTAAACAATGCTTTGCAATGGAGCTCTAAAAAATTACAAAATAAAATAAAAACAAATAATTTATTTTGGGACTGTTTATTATTACAAACGAAGAATCAATGAAGAAGATCAGAGCCGGCCCAATAGATTTGGCTGCGCAAAGCATTCTTAAGCCCACACAATTAATAAAGTCACAAAAAAACAGTTTTGGGACTCGAACCTTGCACCAAAAGGACAAAAACCTAGGGGCTAACCACTGCACTACATAATATTTTGTGAAAGTGATGCCCTTTACTGCTATATATAAATTTTGGCGCCTAAAGCAAGGGCTTTACTAGCTTTAGCTAAGGGCCGGCCCTGAGAAGATGATAGAGAAAGTTTGTTAGAAAGTGAAATTCTCATTCATTTCTTAAATCTGAGATCTATACAATTTGCATTATTATATACAAGTGTGGTATAAGAAGTAAACCAGACTAAACCAATCTAATTTAACTAAACCGGACCAACATACTCCAATATTTATGATTAAAAGTTTGTAATTATGTGAAGATGAAACATTAAAACGTATTTATTTTATTGAAATAACATATTTATTTAATTGTCTGACACAACACATGTATATTGTCTCACCCTTTCTTGCATCTCTCTTTCTTTTGTCGACAAATACAAATTTTACGATCTTTCCTTGTTTCGTTGAAACTGGAAGCAAACGAAACGAATGATATTTTCGTCCAAATTCATTATTTTTGCCAAACCATAAAAGTTAGTGTCCACTTTGCCATGTGATTTTTCATGTCAAAACTATATTAAATAATGCTTCTCATAAGAAAAAAATAATAGAGCCCATACGAAAAACACATATATCCGACTAACCCTCTCGCCCTCCACTTCTCTTTGTTTTTTGTTTTGCCACTTCTCTCAAGTCTCAACAACCAAAATTTCTCTTTCTACAAATACTTTGACTTAAGAGTTGCAGAAATATCAAGTGAAACAAAAAAAACAAACCAGAAAGATAAATGGCTATAAGTTTTAGAACTCTAGCTCTTTTGACCCTCTCGGTGTTACTAATTTCCTTATCTATCGGCGTCGTCACGGCAACAGAGTCGCATCGGAATGAAGCGGAGGTGCGTACGATGTACGACCAATGGCTTGTAGAGAATGGGAAGAACTATAATGGTCTTGGAGAGAAGGAGAGACGGTTCAAGATCTTCAAAGACAACTTGAAACACATCGAAGAACACAATTCAGATCCGAACCGGAGTTACGAACGCGGGTTGAACCAGTTTTCGGATCTAACGGTCGATGAGTTTCAAGCTAGTTACTTGGGTGGGAAGCTAGAAAAGAAAAGCCTATCGGATGTAGCGGAGAGGTATCAGTACAAAGAAGGAGATATTTTGCCTGATGAAGTAGATTGGAGGGAGAGAGGAGCAGTTGTTCCAAGAGTCAAAAGACAAGGAGATTGTGGTATGATTTTGAATATTTTTAGCATTATTTTTGGATTGCGATTGCGGTTGAGATTAGCGGTTTATATAAATAGGAAGTTGTTGGGCGTTTGCGGCGACTGGAGCAGTGGAAGGTATAAACCAAATCACAACCGGAGAATTATTATCTTTATCAGAACAAGAACTCATTGACTGCGATAGAGGGAAAGACAACTTTGGATGTGCTGGAGGTGGAGCAGTATGGGCCTTTGAGTTCATTAAAGAAAACGGTGGTATAGTAACCGATGAAGATTACGGTTATACTGGCGATGATACTGCCGCGTGCAAGGCCATTGAGGTTTTTAAAACAAACATAAATGACTATTTTTGTAGTTTTGATTTATGGTTTCAATTTGGTAATCTATTGTATTCATCTTGCAGATGAAAACCACTCGGGTTGTTACCATTAATGGTCATGAGGTTGTTCCTATAAATGATGAGATGTCTTTGAAGAAAGCTGTTTCTTATCAACCTATTAGTGTTATGATATCAGCCGCAAACATGAGTGACTACAAATCTGTAATTCCAAATGACATAGTCACCGTTGATTTTTTTTTAATAATCCAATACTAAGTTGTGATCAAATTTTCTTTTTGTGTTATTTCTCAGGGTGTATATAAAGGACCATGTAGTAATTTGTGGGGAGACCATAATGTGCTAATTGTGGGATATGGAACATCATCAGATGAAGGAGACTACTGGCTTATTCGTAATTCTTGGGGACCAGGGTGGGGAGAAGGCGGATACCTTAGGCTCCAACGTAACTTCCAAGAACCAACCGGGAAATGTGCAGTCGCAGTAGCACCTGTATACCCAATCAAGACGAACTCGGCATCCAATTTGTTGTCACCAAGTGTGTTTAAATTGGTTCTTTTATGTATTTTTCAGTTGATTAGTTTGGCCTTGCTTTGATATATACTTGGTGTTCAAGCTCTATTCACAAGCCGGGTGAGCGTTGTGATCTTTTGTGGCTTATATGTCCACCACTATGTTTGAATGACTATCATATCCGGTTCAAGGAGTTCTAATCGTCTTTCACAATTTTATACCCAAGTTTAATATTATCTCATTGACCACTAATTTAGCCCACCTTAGATCCCGATCTGACCGCGGCGGGTTGCGTTGGTATGAGTTTTAAGACACAAGTAAATCCATTATTATTTCAAACATTCAAACATTTTATTAAAACCAAATCGAAAACCAAACTCAATATCGATTGCTATATCAATAAAAATGTTTACAAACATAATCCCTCACCTACGTGCGGGTCCGAATATAGTAAATACTAACATCAAGACCTAAATAAAACACAATAACGGCGAAAAATTACAAGAGACACAACACTTGTTGTAAGTAATATAGTTGGGGTTTGCAGTTGGATCCATCTTAAAACTTTGGATATCCGGGAGCTCGACACGTTGTCTACCCGTTGATTAACTAGCTCTTGCTCATTAATTCTCTCAAGCTCTTGCTCATTAATTCTCTCATGCTCGTCTAGATACTGAATTCCATATTGGTACCCGCATGTTATGGGAACAGAATTATGATGTTCAAATGGGACCAAATTTTCAACGAAAGGAGATATAACCCAAGTATCTTGAGAGATCCAACGAACGAGGTTAATCTTTGGATAATATTTGAACAACCTATTCTCGTTGTCATGGAAGAAAAGATTCCCTTGCTTAGTGACCGTCACTGGTCTGAAATTCATTGAAGATGGTTGACGGTAAAGATCTCTACCGGATAAACGTATGGAGTAAGTCATGCTCCATCTTTCTTCTTTTGCATCCATGGTCCATATCGCTAGTGTCCAAGACCTAAAATGGACTGTGGATATGGCTAGACGGTCGTCAAGGTTCACCAGCTGATCTGTGATCGCTAGTGAAGGCGGTCTTGAAGGAAGATTATGAAACGGAACATCACGAAACTCTTCTGTGTGAAGATCCAAAGCTAGTATCTGAAAAGTAAGAACATGCAACCAATAGATGGACCCATTCACACATGCCGACTTCTTTCTCGCATCCACCAAATAAGGAGGCGGACTGGATTTCCGCCATTCACCAATATTCACATCAAGAATCTCGCAATAATGGTCAGGTTCAAAGAACATCCTCACTACTTTATAGATCCCATTAACTTTGTCCCTACCGAATCCCATTGCCCAATATGCAGTGAAAATTTTGCTCCAATGACCTAAGATTTCAAATTCAAAAACGAATCTTTATCACAAAATATGTATATATATATATATAAGAGTTACCGTATCTATGTCCGTCAACATAGCGGTTGGCAGTGACTGGATCTGGACCGGAAGGGAATCTAAGGGATTTTCCGGTGGAAGGGTTCAAAACGTTGACACAACCTGGTACGGGCATGCAAACCAAACCGTCACATGTCATCAACCAAGGTCGTGTGACGTCGTGGCAGTGTAAATAGACCATCTCCATCTCTTCGTCCCCTTCGAATTTCTACTCGGTCCGGTTTCCTACGGCCGCCAGGATTTTCCGCTTCTTTTGTAGTTTCATACGCCTCTCCGCAAAACTCGTCGATTCCAGGATAGATCTCCATTGTTTTGAGACGGTTTTGAATTTGAGGATAGATTTCAACGGCAATCCAAGGCAAATTTCTTCAAGTAGATCGGGAACTAGGTAGATCATCGGATTAGGGTTTTTCTCTTCTTTTACACTAGCAAGCACAAAATAATTTTTTTTTTTAATATCAATTTACCGAAACTTTTTTTATTTTCCAATTTTCTAACCTAATTAACAAATTTTAACTCAATTTCATAAAAATCTTTATAGGCCGCTAAAATAAAGAGAGAGAAATGAGCCCAACAACTATCGTATAATCCTAGCTTTCTTGTCTTTCACGTTTTAACTTGCTGCAACATTTAGTTAATCCTCTCCACTTATTATTTTGTTTTTGTTTCTTTTGAGATTATAATTACGGGTTTCATGATCTTTTTTTCTTTTTTTGCTACAAGGTTTTCATGTTCTTTCATTGTTCAGAATATTTATTTTTTTTTTAAGGAAAAGAGATTTCTCTCTTTCTCTGAGTTCTTGATAGGAAAATAAATATAAATAAATTAGAGGGAGCTTCCAAGAAACTTTGAAAACAAGTAATAGCTTGGAAAGAAAACAAATTATGATATTGTGACAGTTTCGCTTACCTTAGTCATCCTCTTCAACAACACCTTCCCGGCAACAAATCCCTAAGTTCTAAATCAATTAGATCAAGGCTAATCCTGCATTAAAGTCCACCTAATGAGCAACGATTTCATGTTATCTAGTTCATAAGCATCATAATCAACCTGGAACTACCTTAGTTTACCATACCAAAAGACTTCGAAAAGATTACTCACTAATCATGATGTTAACATAAAGATCCATAAGGAATATATACTCCCTCTATGTCATAAAGAATGATTTGCCGAGGTTTTATTTTTGTATAAAAAGAATTGATTTTCTGTAAATTTTAATCAAATTAATATTAGTAAATTGTGAATTTCAAGAATCATTAATTGAGGATTTTAAAATTTGATGAATTACTATTGGCTAATAGTTATGAAAAATGATTTAATATGAATAAATGGTGTATTTATAACTAACATTAAATGTTTTTCTTAGTTAGTGTGAAAACTCTATAAAATCAAACATTTGATATAGAGGGAGTATGTGTTTAATCATGTTAGATTTGATGAGGGAAAATGAAATTAAAGAGAAGAAAACAAGAAATTGCATTAAACTAAAGAAAATCTCATAAGTCATACCTAGAGATAGGTATGACCAAAAGCTAACCGTAACCGTATTTCGGACCGTAACCGGACCGTTTCTCAACCGTATCCGAACCGTAACCGTATAAAACGGTTAATAACCGTAACCGTTAACCGTAAAAATAGATTAGTTACGGTTGAAAAATATACTAACCGTAACCGTTAATTAACCAAAAACGTAACAAAATTGTTAGTTAACCGTACGGTTAACCGCACGGTTAATCGCATAGTTAACCGTGCAGTTAAAACCTAAAATCATATATATGAAAGTTGGCCAACTCTCTCCATATGAGTGCCACATCATCACACAACAAAATGACATGTGTCATTCTACATTATTTAAATAAAAAACTAGCAAAATTAAATGAGAAAAATTAAAAGTTATTTATTGCATTAAATCCTCCATAATTCTACGCTTAAGTGATTTATTCAGAATTAAAAAAAATTCAAAATTATGTTAATAAAAAAAACTATTTTCATTATACTCTTCTTATTTTACTAAATATTTTTTTTTATCATTGATCACAATTCGATAATGAATGAAACTTAATTTTTGGTGTAATTTAGTTGTTGCTACCTAACCTCTTATTAGTTTAGTAATTTAACGAAAAGTCTTTTTTTATTATTACGTTTTATTATGCATATATGACTTTCTATCTTTTTATTTTTGTGTCTTATGGTAAGTTAGTAACATTGACATGCAATTTTTTTTCATATGATGGGTCTTTGAGATGTTAAACATACCAAAAAATTCAAGACACGACTATTTCTCTTATATGACTATATGTAATGGTAGAAGATTTAAAAGTGTTGACTTAAATGACATTTTATTTTTGCTTTTTGTTTCATTCTTTCATATGAAAACTCTTGAGATTTTGTTCAATTTATGTCTATCCAATATTTAATAATGAGTTTATCAGGTGAAGGTTAGAGAAAGCTGGCTATTCATCAGGTGACTGTACCATCGAAACCAATTCTGAACAGTCTGATTCAAACGCCTGACAAGCAATCCTTCTTGAAAGGATATTCTTCATGGCCCAAATTAAAGCTTCCATCTCCTAATGAAGGGGTGAGGATGATCTTCTAAGGCACTTGGCACCAAGCAATATAGTTTGTGCGGTCTCCTGAAAACACCACCATCCTAAACCCATAGTTGGATCCGAAGCTTAAAAATGAACCATCAATCTGACATCGTAATGATTGGATTGGGGGTTCCGAAATTTCTGTTAATGTACTATTGTCGATCGGCTCCACTTGAGCTTCTTCCCACAGTAATTTCTCACTCAAAGCGTGATTTAAAATATATGTGGGATCTGATTGTATTCCTTTAAAAACTTTTTTATTCCTATGTTTCCATATGAACCACAAAATCCACGCTTAACAATTTGTGTTTTCCCTCCATCTCGAGGAGGTGGTATTCTCCAATAAAAGTAATCTAGATTTGAAAGTTCCGAACTTAGAGGAAAGCAGCCTGGAACCAAAGGCACCGCGGATAATTCCCATATTTTCTGAGAATGAGAACACTCAAATAAAGCATGATTTATAGTTTCCTCTGCCAGCTCACACCTTTTACAAATAGTGTCACAGCTAATCCCTCGATGTACTAATTTTGAGGTAACTGCCAAAGATCCCGAAGCGATTTGCCATAAGAAATGTTTTATCTTCGGAGGAGCTTTGACTTTTCACGCTTGAGCTTGTAAAATTTTAAAATTTGGTCCCCATTCTACCGTCTCGCACATCTTTCGAGCAAGTCGATATCCAGACTTTACTGTATATTTTTCTGAATTTGTATAATGCCAAATAAGCCTATCTGGCCTATAATTCTGACTAATAGTCATTCCTCTAATGATTTGTATATCAAGCGGATCCAAAACTTCTTGTAAAAGAGGAAGGTGACACTCTTTAGTAACCGGATTAATTAAATGGTTAACCATCAGACTTGGAAGTAATAAATTTCTCCTTCCCCTTGCGGGCCTTGGATTATCCTTTGGAATCCAAGGATCTCCCCAAACCGATATATTGAAACCCGAACCTATTGACCATCTTGCACCCATTTCGACAGTCCTTTTTGTCGAAAAAATACTCTTCCATCCAAACGATGGAGAGTTTGGTTTTTTTGCATTCAAAGGATCTTAGAAATATAAATAATCAGATTTATACATAAAAATATATAAATTGATATTTCGAGTCAAAAATAAATCTAATCATAAAAATTGTTACTATATAAAATAGATTATATTTTATTAACTACAATCATATATATGAAAGGAGGCTATCTCTCTCCATCTTTCCGCCACGTCAGCATTTTTGGCTCTTCTAAAGATGACACATCAGCTTTTTATTCGTCCAATCAAAACATTTCATTAATACACGTCAGCTTCTAATTATAAGTGTCAAATGGAGTAAACAAAATAGCCCATGACGGATGGGCCATATGTGTTTTAGAATCTATTAGAGTGCAATATTAATAGGTCGAGCCCATTTTAGTGATGGCTTAATGCTTCTAAACCCAACAAATATTCTAATTCTCTACAAGACTTTAACAAAATAAATCTCTCCCACTCTCTGCTCGATCGTTCAATATGAAAGAAGAAGAGTCTCAACGCAAATTTCTCGACTTCGTAAATTCCATCCTTCATAGTCTCCCTTTCTGTACATCATATTTCTTTAGAACAAACGTTTTCTACCTTCTAACTGCCAGAATGGAGGCCACGGTAGAAGTTACACAAAAACATATTCACATTCTCAGCTTATGGGATTACAAACTTTCACTACTATAAACTCTATAAATACTCAAACAGACATTGTTTATACCGGATTATATGTGTTTCAAACACCATCAGTAAATGTTTACCAAGGTGCAAGGAACATAAAAACGATACAGAACCACCATCATGTACAACCTACACGAGAATTACAAAATGAAAACATCAGATACAACTCAAGTTGACAATATCGATATACACAACATTGAATAGCTACTCACCTGAATTATCACTGAGGTGGTGGTATTTGGAACAACTGTCAAAACACAAATACTCTGTAGCGTCCTTTTCAGTATCGTTTCATACTCCCTTTCAACTTTTCCTATCAATATTCAAAGCAAAAGTAATTCAGATCTAAAAACCAAGAATCACATGTATGACATACTCAAGCAACAAAACAAACCTCCTTCTGAACAACTAAACGCATTTACGATTACCAATCTATCCGGTTTAAGGCTTCCATATGACTTCAAAACAAGCCTTCTCAGCATTTTCGTTCTTCTTCGTTCCTGCTTTAGGTCCGTATACTGCAGCTAGAACTTTTGTATCCCCGGAAAATATAAACGAGAGAGTTCAATGAATCCCACTTAAAAAGGATAAAAAATTTTTGTACCCATAATAGATATTGAGAAAGCTGATAAAGTACCTTCTGACCAACTAGCAGAGTCATGAGGACGATGAAGAATATTACGGGATCAAGCAAGAGGTCTCAGCTGACAAGTAAGTCTTTTTCCCGGGTTATATTTCAAGTCAAAAAATAAATCTAATCTTAAAAATTGTAACTACATAAGATAGATTTAGTTTTATTAACTACATAATAACAAATAAAAAATAAACATAAATTAGCAAAAACAATCAATAATTTTTCTTTACATTAGCTTTCTATTCTTCCAATCAAAACATTTCATTAATATGATTCAGCTTTTATTTTTTATACATCATCTTTTAATTAGAATTGTCAAATGGGAAAAACACAATAGCCCATGAGGGATGGGCCATATAGATTTGAAAATCTATTTCACAAGTTAATAATATATTTATTATTTAATTATATATATTATTTAATTTTACATATTGATTTCTACTAAAACTAACTT